TCAAGACTTGTGGGGGCAATGTCATCAAAGACAACATTTACTGTTTCTTGAACTTGTCGAGATTTTTTGTTGAAGACCCTGAATGCAGTGCTAGTTCCTGAATATCCTAGAAATATCCCTTCATAGCTTCGTGAGTCAAATTTTCCCAGGTGATCCTTGTCATTCAGGTTATAGCAAGAGCACCCAAAGACATGAAAATAACTCACATTAGGAGTCTTCCCTTTCTATAGTTCATATGGGGTTTTGTTGACTCCTTTTCGAACATACACCCAGTTGATGATATAGCAGGCTGTGTTCAAAGCCTCTGCCCAAAAATGTCTTGCCACCTGGTTCCCATGTAGCATAACCCGAGCCATTTCCTGAAGCGTTCTGTTCTTGCGCTCAACAACTCCATTTTGTTGTGGAGTTCGTGGTGCTGAGTATTAATGAGCAATCTCTTGTTCACTGCAGAAACAATCAAAAACTTCATTCTGAAATTCTCCCCCATGATCGCTTCTGATCGTTTTTATACCATTCACTCGTTCAGTCTTGAGTTGTAGAGCAAGAATTCTGAAGCTGTCAAACGTGTCTGATTTCTCACGAATGAATCTGACCCAGACATATCGAGTGAAATCATCAACCAGAACAAACGCATATTTTTTACCTCCAATACTCTCTATTTGCATTGGTCTCATGAGGTCTATGTGAATTAAATCAAGAGCTCGTGGGTCTGAATGTCAGGTACAACTCGATGTTGGACACGCACTTGTTTTCCTTGTGTGCAGAGACCACAGACAAAATCAGGAACGATCTTGATTTTAGGCATGCCACAGATTAGTTCTTTATCCGCCAGTCTTGCCATTGTTCGAACATTCATGTGTCCAAGCTTCATATGCCACAAGTGCATATCAGTGTGTACACCGGTACTGGTGCTTAAACACTGAACAAGAGGAGGTGTCCATTTGTAGCAGTTGTTGTTGGTTCGAGTCCCATACAGGACTATTTGTCCCTTGTCTGTCACTGCTTGACAGGTTTCCTTTGTAAAACGGACTGATAGCCCTTCATCACACAGCTGACTGATGCTGATCAGATTTGCTTTCAACCCATCAACAAAGTAGACTTCAGATAGGTGTGGTTTGTATGAGCCCAATGTTCCTCCCACACCTTTAATTTTTCCTTTAGCACCACCCCCGAAGGTTACTCTACCAGCTGATACCCTTTTTAGCTTATTCAGCTCAGTCTGAGTCCCTGTCATGTGTCTTGAGCAACCACTGTCAAAATACCATGGTGAGTCCTTTAATTCCTGTCATGTGTGCACTACTGTTAGTGCACGATTATCAGCCGAATTTGGTTTCTTGACCCATCCCTGATTCCGACGTTTTCCATTCCAGAAGAACTGATTCTGACTTATCAGATGCTGAATGTCTTCCTGAAGACGGTAGCAGTGGATCTTGATGTGTCCTGGTTTACTACAGTAGTAATAACTAGATAACCTACCATGTCTACGTGTCTATAGAACTCACTGACATTATGCTGCACGGCTTTGCTCCTTGGGGTTGGTGGTTTAGCCTGTTTCATTGGACTCTTCCCTGAGCCAACTGCTCTCACATTTGACCGAGTTGTGTCAGGAAGCACTGATTGTTGACCTTGTTGAGAAAATTCTGACCCACAGATGAATTGCGTTGATTTACCAAGCGTAGTTCCGGCATATCCAAGGCCAAAACTGCTCTTGCTTGACTATCCAATGCTCAGAAGTTTATCAAGATCTTTGGTTCCCTTCGACAACATCTTGGTGTTTCGAAGTTGCTATGTCAGACGCCCATTCAGCTCGCGATTCTTCTCTTGTTCTTCAGAAAGGAGTAACTTGAGAAAATCTGAGTATTTTACTTGCTCAGCAAGTTGATTCTCAGCAACTTCAACTTCACACTATAAGGCAAAGATCATGTCATCTTTCTGCTGAGTGTTGATTTGAAGTCTGTTCTGCAATTTAATGATCTGCTCATACTTTTCAGAGATCTGTTGCAAGAAGTTTTCCTTTTCTTTGTTGGCATTAACCATAGCAAGACATAGAGTCCGGGTTTCTTCCGCCAAGATCTCTTCATCATCAAACTCATCATCCTTATTAGATTCTCCCCCAGACTCTGTGCCCTCGTTAATTACTCCAAGGAAGGCTACATAAATCAGTAAAGACTCCTCATCGCTTTCACTGCCATCTAATTGAGACTCTTCCTTGATGATCAGTGATTTTTCGTTTCGTTTTTTTCTGAGTAACACGTTCAGTCCTGACATGTCCGAAGCCACTGCATTTCTGACACTTGAGCGTCATCCTCTTCTTGGCAGTTGGACATTCGGTCTTAAAGTATCCATATCCTTCACATTCATGACACTGCATCTCAGACTTTCTCGATCCCTGTTCAGACTTGGAATCAGAATTCAATCTTCTTCCCTCAAATCCTGACTTGCGTTGTTCTCTATCTAACTTCTTAAAGTATTTCTTGACAATCAGTCCGACTTGATCGTCAAGATTGGTCTCCTGAGGTTCGCCCTATTCAGCTGAAAATGCTATACCTTTCCCTTTTGCCTGATTCTTCTGAGACTGCTTCATCTCATATGCTTGCATCATCCCTATAATTTCATTGAACTTCATCTCATCCGAGTTTCTTGGAACTTTAATAGCTGATATGTAGGACTGAAACTTATCTGGGAGACTCCTCAGAAACCTTTTGACCAGTTTCTTATCCTTGTAGGTTTTTCCGAGTACTTGAGCCTCATGGGCAATGGCGCTGAGTTTACCACTGAACTGTTCAATCGACTCACTTGATTCCGTGGTCAGTGTTTCAAACTGAGAGGCTAACATGTCCATCCGAGTTCTCCTAACAGTAGTCGTTCCTTCATATGCAGTCTGAAGTGTGTCCCATGCCGCCTTTGCCGTGGTGCATCCTTGGACTTTCTTGAACTGATCCTTGGTGAGTGACGTCCAGATTATTGATAGAGCTTTGGAGTTGAACTTTGACCAGGAGTTTTCTTCAGCTGTCAATGTTAATCTTGGTTTGGGTCTTCTCACTCCATCTGCTCCAACAACTGTTGGTTCCGTCCAGCCTTCTTCAACCATGGTCCATGCATCCTCGTCATATCCTTTGATGAGAGCCTTGATCTGGACTTTCCACCACCCGTAATTTTTGGCATCGAGCACCAGAGACTTGCTCGGACCGAGATGCTGCATGTTTTCCATACTTTGTTCCACAATCACACCTGATTAATAAGAACGGGCAATCCTTTAGCAGATGTCTGCTCTGATACCAATTGTAAGTGTAGAAAACAGGCACACTCAATCAATGACTTAGAAAGCGCCAAGTCCAACGCTAGCTTTTATTATTTTGAATCAACAACTTAATTATCTGATTACAATTGCTTTGGTATTATGCAACTCTAACTTTAGAAAGCAACCAAACGATTTCTAGTAATAAAACCTACTCTTTACTTGATCATACAACCCGTGTATCAGAGAAGAGGACACTAACCTTCTTGCTTCGTATTTGTTTGAGGCACAAGGTGTCCTAGAACAATTACGGCGCAAAGTGTCTCACAAACTTTGTCCGACTTCCCTATATATAGTACCCTAAGTCTAAACCTAGAACCTTCTTCGAATCTCTCGTAAGGTAAGATTTCTATATATCAAATATTTTCGAGTGCTCTCCAAACTATCCCTTGTATCGCTAATTTATCAGATCTACGCCAACTACAAATTTCTATGTCTTCCTGCCTCCTGATTATCCATGATTGGAGCCTTGTATTGTTGCTAAAAAAAAAAAACAAAATTTACAAAGAAACTGCAAATGAACAATATCGGTTATTAACTGGTTTACCGATATTGTTAATTTGTAGCTTTTTTGTTAATTTTGTTTTTTTTCTTAGCAACAACACAAGGCATTTTACTTTCTTGAACGTATTTGAAAAATAAAACTGGGCCGTGTCATTGTTTTAGCTCATTGGGCCCATAATTCTAGTTTAGCTTATGCTTAATTACTACATAGCCGTCAACTGTTAAACATCGCTTTCAAATTAATGCTTCTTCACTTTCTAGAAACATTAATTTTTCTTTTACAGCAACCTTCGGGTTCAACTTTTTAATCAAAAAATTAAGACGGTTCCTACTTCCTGATATACTAATTTATTGTCAACATTATTTATTTTATCATTGTCTCTCGGTGCAGACCAAAAAGTCATGATTCACCTAAGCGGAAGGCTCTTATTTTACCACGTGTCACAAAATCAGTGGTTCGAGCATATTATAGTCCAGCCGTGTGACACCTGATGTATGTATGATTGATAACACTAGTCGAATAGTGGAATGGTGAAAAAACATAAAAACGCAAAAGTTTTGCTAATAAAAAAAAATTTGTGAAAAAACACAAAAATACAAGATCTGCGGAATTGCGTTTTTGCTTACAGAAAATATAAAAAAATCTTCATTAAACAGAAAAGCGTGTTTAGAATAGATTATTTGCGAAATCAATGTTTATATTATTCAATTATATAACTAATTATATTTTATTATTTAAATAAATAATTTAGTATTATAAAAAAAATATTTAATAATAAAGTTATATCTATTATTTAAGATTTGCAATATTTTTTAACTTTTTTTAGTTTTAAAAAACAAATTATTAAAAAGTTACAATTAGAATTATATTATTTTATAATAATTGATTAAATTATTAATATTTTATTTTTTTATAATATATAGTAAAAAACAAAATATTTTCAATATTCTCTATAATTTCGTCATTCCATCATTCTTCATAATTTATCTAATCGTGTTAAAAAAAAAATTCCGCAATTCTACAATAAATTATTTTGTAATTCCGCGACAATTACCAATCGGAAAAATAACTAGAAAATGTTGCACGTATATGATGAACGGAGCCGTTAAATACACGTGGCTTTTGTAACGGTGAATTCAACATAACTATGACGGCGTCAAATGTCGGTCCTATGGAAAATACGAGAAGTCCCCACCACGCCTTTTATCGTTTCCCCAAGCGTCGCTCTAGTTTAAAAGGAGCAGGTTTGGATCCGAAACAATTAACGGTTCAGATCAAAACTATCAATTCAACGGTCCAGATCGAGTTTACCTTTCGTTCTTCTATTTTTAGGCTTCCTTCGAGATCCTTCTTCTCTCAGAGTTGGAAGAAAAGCGTTGTTGGTTGTTTGCTGTTCTCTTGAATCCCGAAGCTACAATCTGCACTATTCGATCGGAAACAATGGCGGATGAACATAAGCACGAAGAATCTCTGCCTAATTTGGATCCGGCTGTGGAAGTTGTAGAGAGAGAATCGTTGATGGAGAAGATATCGGAGAAGATCCACCACAAAGGTGACTCGTCGTCGTCATCATCTTCTTCAGATGACGAGAGCGAGAAGAAATCTTCATCTCCTTCGTCTCTGAAATCGAAGGTTTACCGTTTGTTCGGCAGGGAAAGGCCCGTGCACAAGGTTCTCGGCGGCGGAAAACGTAAGTTTACGCCGATCTCAGTTTCATTTTTTCCCAGTTTTGTGCGGTTTTGTATCGATTTTACTTTCCTCTAGTTGTGATTCGTCGCTGGTTAGAGCCTGATGCTTCGTTTCAGGGATCGGTGGCTTTCTCTGTGGTTAAGATAGTTGATTTTTCTCTGGTGTTTCCCAGAAATGCATGCATTAGCTTTTGAGTTCTATTAATCTCGTTGCGTATACTAGTTCATCTGGATCCGCCTTATTTCTGGTTTTGGATTGAACCAACTGAAACGATTTCCACTTCTAAATTGACTTGTTTGAGTATTGAAAATTGAAGTTTATTCATGATCTTCTCAGATTGCGATGGCAATGATAGTAGGACTTCTTATTTATCTCGATTTGTAAACCCTAATTTGTTGATTTTCCTGATTGCAGCGGCTGATATATTCATGTGGAAGAACAAGAAGATGTCAGGTGGTGTGTTTGGTGGTGCTACAGCAGCATGGGTGCTCTTTGAATTGATGGAGTATCATCTTCTTACTCTGCTATGTCACGTTATGATCGTCGTTCTTGCTGTGCTATTTCTATGGTCTAATGCCACCATGTTCATTCACAAGTAAGTTCGTGTTTAATCCTTATGAAAGTGGCTATCTTTTCACCTCTCAGATGAAGCTTGTAATGACCTCGTTTGTTGCGAATTTTATTCTCTTTCAGGTCCCCACCAAAGATTCCGGAACTTCATATCCCAGAAGAACCTCTGCTTCAGCTTGCTTCAGGGCTCAGAATCGAAATCAACCGTGGGTTCTCTTCTCTTCACGAGATTGCATCTGGAAGAGATATCAAGAAATTCCTCTCTGTAAGTTTTAAAAAACTTTCCAGGACTTCTCCTCTCTCAATATCTAGCATCTTTAAGGTTGATTATAATTCGTACTGTTTGATCTGATTAGGCCATCGTTGGATTATGGGTTCTATCAATCTTGGGTGGATGCTGTAGTTTCTTGACATTGGCATACATAGGTAACGGAACTTGCCAATCTCTTGAAGTATTGCTTCTTCCTTCTCTAACCCATTTTTTATTCCAACAATGCTAATGGTTGATTGATCTCTGTTTGACTTAGCTCTGGTTCTGCTCTTCACTGTTCCTCTTCTCTACGACAAGTACGAGGACAAAGTAGACTCGTATGGTGAGAAAGCAATGGCTGAGTTGAAGAAGCAATACGCTGTGTTTGACTCAAAGGTATTGAGCAAAATCCCAAGGGGGCCATTGAAGGATAAGAAGAAGGATTAGGGTTTTGCAGGATTTCTTTGCATGCGTGTGCACTGGTTTTTATACAATTGTGGGCTGTGTTGTGAAGTGATAATTTAAAAGTTGTGTTAGATCTCATCTTGTTTCTCCCGAATTCTTACTTACCAACTTTGCTTCTTTTTTGTTCTTTTTTTTTTTTTTGCTTTGGGTTATTAGTGTTCTTGTGGCATGAGGACAAAACTTGTAGATTCTCTCTTGCAATATAAATGTTTGTGTAGTCTCAACTTAGTTTACCGATTTGTGTGTGTAGTATGATGCTTGATGTACTACTATCAAACGAAAAGCAATTTTACCCTTTTCTCAGCCAACGGTTTTTTCGCTGCCAACGATTTTTTATTTTTATTAGTGATATATATGAATCTCTCGTACCTTAGTCATCGAAGTCAGGATGGCCGAGTGGTCCAAGGCGCCAGACTCAAGTTCTGGTCCTCGAAAGAGGGCGTGGGTTCAAACCCCACTTCTGACATATTATTTTCCTTAATTTTACGAAACCTAAATTATCTGAACATGATGACGAGTAAAATAAATAACTTTTTGGGGCTTCTCGGGGGTATACAAGTTTTCTCTTCAAGATCAATTAAAATGGTCCACTCGGGGGTATACACCATTTTTGGTCCAAAACAATTTGAATCCATTTGGGTTTAATGGTGATAACTGATAACAGAACGAAAAATGTATTTTAAACCAAAAATATTTATATTTCAAGTATCGGACTCTTAAATTAATACATATCAAAAGGTATCATAGGAGCTAAACCATTATTTATTTTTTGTTTAAAAAAGCTCAAATGTGGATGAAAGAGCACACTATTGTCTGATAAAAATATCAAAATGGTTTAAATTTAATATTCTTTTTACATAAGTATAATAATAATATAACATACAAATTATGGAGTGGTATAACAGTTATATAATATATAATAGGAGCTAAATTATAATATGGTTTTTAAATTAATTTTTTTACGAGCTAATTGCCAAAACGCAAAAACTGCTTTATAACTATTAGAAGCCTTACCTTGATTTTTTTGTTGCACGTTAGCAAGTAGTTTTTGATATTGATTTTCGATTATGAAATAGAGTATAATAAATAATAATCAAACTTTTTTACCAAAAACTAATAATCAAACTTTGCTTCAAATTTTTGGATATAATGTATTTTTTTCTGAAACAGGTGCAATGTTTCGAAGAAAATGATTGGCACAAAAAAATTCCCTTGAAATGCAATTCAAGAAGAAAACTTTGTTTTTTTTTGTTTTTTGAACATTTGTTCCATACATATCCCTCAAACCTAGGAGTATTACCTATGACAGAACCTTGGATTACTATATACTAAAAGAGTGAAAAATACGTTATGGATACTCCTATCTCCAGGAAAAAAACAATGGAACAAATTTTCTACGCTTTCTAGCGAGGGAGGGAGAGAGTGAGAGAATTAAAATATGAAGAAGTAAAGTTACGTATGAAAAAGAGTAACAACATGTCAACATAACACGTTCATATATATATAACACCTTGGTTGTATTGTATCCATACAACATTAAAAAAAAAAAATATAGAATTTACTATGTTGTACAGTGAAGCATGATAATACAGTGGGATCCACGTTTTATTTTTCTAACAAATAATTGTAACAAAAGCACAATCACAAATTTTCATAAATTTTTGGTTACCACATGTTCTTATGAATGAAGGGATTGATGTTTTCTCGAAAGCCAATCATCTTATCATCTTCAAAATCAGATAAAAATTAGTGATTCTTTAAGAAAGTAAGTTAGATAGAACAAACTAATATAATAGATCAGATAAAAATACGCAACGCGTTATGATTAATTTAGTAATCTACTACTTTCATATGATTTCTACATTTGTTCATGTTGCTACATATCATTTGATTACTTTCTTCCTCAATTTTCCCCCGAGTAATGTCGTTGTTTTACATAAACTAACCTGCTAATCAAAAGTCAAAGTATGCATTTACATGAATTACAGAAACACCAACACACATCAGATGACTGATTAAGAAATAAAACACAACTTGTGTATTCTTTAAAATTGTGTTACCATAAGAATATGAGCTATTGTGCATCAACGTACTAAACAACTTAATTCTTTACAATTTACCGCATAATTATTGAGAGTTGTTGAGAATGATTCAAATTGTTTGCCCCCCTCTATATGGCAAACATCACATTCATGAATTAATTAATTAAGGGAGATACAAACATCGTTTAAACAAATTCAAAGATCGTAACTCCTTAAATTGTATGGACAAACACAACCGAATTGGCAAAACAAAAACAACACGAATCAAGAAAGAACATGGAAAAGATAAAAGGAGAACAAAAAGAAAACCCTAAATAGTAGAGAAGGAGCCGATATTACACCTTGGTAGGTTCGAAGAGGATCGAGCCTATCCGCCGTTCCATGACTTGCCGGTCCAACCCCGACGCTTTAACCGGGTCGGTTTGAAGAATCAATCACAGCCAGTGGTTAATTAAGAGCAGGGAGTGAACATTGTATTTATAAGCTATGTGGTGAAAACCCTCCGGTCCACCTAGAAGCTTCCATGAAAGCTCAGCTCAAGCTCCCCATTTGGTTTCAACCTTTTGAGTTTGATCCAATTTGGGGAGACCTTGATGAAACTCTCATGGCTTAAAAATGGGGAGAGAGAGGTTTGTCTTTCTACTTCTTGTTTTTATATAGCAATATTATTTGTTCCTTAATTATTTGGACGGTGACAGAAAGAGAAACTCACACCAAATATATATTACTTCAATGCCATTCGATTATCATGGATTCAAAAAACATGTGATACTGGAGTGCTTTTGATGTAAACAAAAATCCAACTTAATATAACTAAACAATCTTTATCTTAACTTAAAGTTTTATGCATTTTTTGGGGGTAATATTAGCTAATTAAGTGACTTGGCACACACACCAAAATAATAATTAAGTGACTAAAATTATTCTAATCATAATTAGTACATATATTCGAAATATTTGCAGTATTCAAGCTTGATCATTTTTTTAATCAACGAATTTTGAAACTTATGGACCATGGTTGCTTAAATTATATAGGAGAATATGAAATGTAAATAGTTATTGTTGTCGAGTTTTGAATTTGGGTGAAAGAGTTTGTATTCTTTTTAACGTGTTTCTTTCATTTTATTTTGAGGTTGAATGGTATGTAGTTTTTTCACATAATTTTACTAAATACATATTATTTATAATATTAACCACTAAATAATAAAAAGTGAAAATTAATACGCTGTTTTTCAATTTTTCTCATACATTTTAAATTTATAACTAGTTTTAAGAAAAATATATTCATATAATAGATATTAATTTTCTAGCATTTTAAATTTATTCAGTTTTCAGTTTATCCATTATATTGATTCTATTAGTTTATTATTCAGTTATTCTGCTATTCGGTTATTAAGTTGACATACTAGTCAAATTTTTTATTTTGTTAATCAAGTAATTTGGATGAATCTAGACAGTCGTTACATCTTATCTACTGGATTTTTAGCTGAACGTTTACCCAACTTTGGCTAACCACGAGCATATATATAATGTAATTTCTACTTAAATACAAATCTATGAATTAAGCTCTACTCTTTAAATCACAAGTCTTATAAACCAAACCACAAACATGTGATGAATGTTTTTAAATATTTTCTGTACCGAGGGAAATCGAATCCAGGATCTTCAAGTGAAAGTAAACATTTTATTTTGTTCTTTAACGACGTGTATCTTTTTGTTTTTAGTGGGAAGACTTAACCAACAACAGTACCTCTGAGTAGATTGCCACCAATTATATGCCCCACGCACTCTTCAATCTACTGCTTCGGATTCAAATCATTGGAGAGTGAGAATGTTAAACCACTATTTGCAATTATTAACCCGACCAAAAAAAAGATCTAGACTGACAAAACCAATTAAAAAAAAAGTCTAGATAAGTTACTATTTACAATTATTAATCTAGAGTGCAAAACAACCAATTAAAAAGTCTAGATTGTATATTATATACAATTATTAATCTAGAGTGCAAAACCAATAAAAAGTCTAGATTCTAACATTCTAGAGTGCGTTGCAAGGGACCCCGTGTCCACTGTCTACGACCAATCCCTTTAATTTTGGTGGATCAGCTGCCTGTTTGTCTGTTTTCAATTGGCCATTCCTCTTTTAATTATTTTATTATGTAATTTTACAATTTGTTTTGAATATTTCTTTAAAAATTCTGACTCTATGTCCACTAAGGAGGTCACACTTGGCTTTTAGAGAACATGTCCAAAGCGTAAAGTAATTTTACTGCAAATAATAAGAAATCTTGAACAAAAAAATAGAAAGTAATATTATGGACCAAGATTTGTAAAAGACAATTTTCAAGTAATCGAACGTAAGTGTTAAGTGGCTCTGAAATTAGACTATACATAATTGATTTGATATTTAAAAATGTAAGCATTTCCAGCAAATATATTAAAGGGCTATGGTTTTTCTTTCTGTTACTTCGCCTTAAATCATGATGACAATCTCTATGTGTTAGTTAACATTTGGAAGAAATAATTACTTTAATAAAAAATACTAATAATTAAACCTTTAAGAAACAAAAGAGTGGGACACGTCAATAAACCAATCAATAAACCCACTTTAACTTTAGGATAAGCTTTTAGAAAGCATAGCTGCCACTGCTGTTAGTGGTTGCACCCTGGTTCGAGTGCTTGTAATGAGTAGGGATGCTACCAGCGGTTAAGTTTGTAAACATAGTTTTTTTTTGTTTTTTTTAGGTTTAGATATAGTCCAATAATCATGTTGAACAATATGTTAATTTTTAAACTATTTTTAACGACTTGTAGAACAATATGTTGTTAACTACATAAAAAAAATAGAGCAAGAATGAGGGATTTGGTCCAATCTTGAAAGAGTTGATTTAATATTATGGACCAAGGTTTGTTTAATCCTTTTGTTTTAAACATAAAACCTTATCAGAGTAAGAGAAGAATCTTGAATGAATTTAGAATTGTCAAACTCAAATTCCAAACCAAATGTTTGCCTTTGTAATCTCCTTATGTTAACTATTACCACCAACAATTGATAGAAATAAAAAAAAAAATTGCAAGAAGCTTTTGTCAATTAGATAAATAATGAGATACTCTCTCTATCTCTCACCCTCTTTCTCTCAATAACACTACAAATAATAATTCATACCTACTTTAATCAAACAAATATGAGGAATATTCAACATCACAGCAGTGCTACGACAATTCTTCCTCAAGAACGAGTAAGCCACATCTATCACCAACTGTTTCGCAAACGTCGAGTTCCTTTTCGCCTTCACGTGACCATGCCCTACTATATAAGCCACTTCAGCATCTTTAGCCTCAACCAAATCAAACAACTCTTCCTTCACTTGCGGTTGTCTAAACTTTGTATCCATCGGTCTGAACTGAAACCTCCTCATCATGCTCAGCCTCGGAAGCTCTTGCTCGTATTCCGCTTTAAGCCTTTTCAGCACCGGAGATTTGCTATTAGTCACTGTCGTTTGAGACCTCGAGCTGCTGCTTCCCGCTATGTTAACCTCTGATATAGACCGAGACAGCCTTGTTCCGAACTTGTTCGAGGTTTTCACAACCGCGAGCCGACCGTCAACAGAACAGTCCACGTTTGATCCGCAGCCTTCGGATTCTAGCTGGATAAACTCGGCAATGCTCATTACAAGCTCGTCTTCAAAGTCATCTCCGTCTTTGTTCACGTCTTTGTATCCACTTCTGATAATGCACCGGTACATCCTGTACGTTTTGGGACCGACCCGGCCTATCAGGTACCGTTCTCTCTGCGGTACGTAAGGGATAGGCACGGTTTTGCTGCATACGAATACAACCACTTGGTAGAAAGCGGGTAACTTGGTGAGGAAGTGAGTGAATGTGGCAGGTACACCACTTGCAAGCTCGGTATAGATTAGAGCGATCCCTGGGACCTTGATGATGCCGAGGCTCGGTCCAAGATTGAGGATTGATTTCATGGAGACTTTGTTGTGTTGGTCGTATAAGTACTTCTTCCTGTTTCCGTAATGCCATACGTATGTGGTGAAGGTGAAGAGTAGTGAAAGGATGATAGTGATCCATCCTCCGTTTGGGATATTGGCCCAAGAAGATGTCACAAAGACGAGCTCAACGGTCCCCAAGAAGATGATAAAGAGAATAGAGAAAGCTAGATGACGATTCCAAACAAAGTTTATGATTAGAGGCATCAACAACGTTGTCACAAACGCTAGACTCATGCAAGCAAGTCCTGAAAACCAGTAAGGAAGAGAGAAGTTTTAAAGCTTTAGATGTTTCTGATAAAACAGAGATTATGAGTTTAAAAGGATGTTTATACCGAAAGCAAAAGCTATGTGTCTAGTGTCTCGAAAACCAATGGTGACTGCGAGTGTGAAGATCATGAGGAGCCAGTTGATCTCAGGGATATAGATTTGACCGAGGACCCATCTTGGTTTGTGAACAATCTTCACACGAGGGAAGCATCCCAATGCATAACATTGTTTAACGATAGAGAAAGTTGCAAATATGACTGCTTGGCTAGCAACCATTGCAGCTAGCATCGCCATCATTAGAACCGGCCAGAAAAATGGATCTAAAGATTGAGTGGAAGAAAAAGCATTAAAACAAAGATCAAATACCAAAAACTTTGCAAACATAGAGAGCCAAAACATAGAAGTCGTAACAAGTACTACACCAAAAGATACTTAGTAAGATTGAGTAAAAATGCTTACCTGGAATAGAGGCATAGAAGCTAGTGTGAAGAGCAGAAAAATTCTTTGATAAAAACGCAGCTTGTCCCATGTACTGAAGCACCAGACATGGATAAACAACACAACAGAACGCAAACTGTATATAGCAATGACAATGCAAAATGTTACTGTTCTTTCACTAAACAAAACCATAACAATGAAATTTAGTAACAAATAGAAACTGCCTGACTCAATCTTGAAACTCTCTAAGCTAGTTTTTGCTAGACGATGCAACTCCTAAATTACTGCTAAAGAACAGTATCTCTGCGAGGTCGAAGCAACTTAACGTACCCTTATAGATGTAGCTGTAAACTGTCCAAGTTCAGCAAAGATAGCTTCTGTTCCTGAAGTTCCCAAAATTTCCAAAGATGAAACGCAGAGAATATTATTAACTGAGTCAAGTTTCATAACAATATTAAGTTACAATATAGTACCTGTGATGCATAAAAGAATGCCTCCAAGAGACAACCATCCATCTTTTCCTGTATCTCTAAAGAACTTATAGATATAGTATGGAGACAAAGCTTTGAACACGCTGGGATTCCATCTCAGAATGTTGTACAGACCAGCAGTTGCAATCAACAACAACCAACAAATCATGATCGGTGCGAATAAGAAGGCGACTTTATTAGTCCCACGGTGCTGCAGAACGAATAGTCCAACAAGCAGAGCGCATGCTATCATAACCACAGTACCTTGAGAAGCAAGACAAATAGTAAATGTGGATAAACCAGAAACCGTAGCTGCGGAACAGAAATGAAACATCACTTACTGTGCTTCAAACTTGTTTTGGCCACAAGTCCATCAATAGAGGAAGAAACTACAAGAGAGAGAGAGAGAGAGAGAGAGAAAGAATAATGTTAGATGCAAAAAGACAAAACAGAACAGAGAGAGAAGGCTGCTTCCATTACCCGAAATCGCAGGTGTAAGAACACCAATGGTAATGACCATTGAAGTACCAACCAAGACTAAGAGAAGCAAAGCTGTTTTTGATCTTTTATTCCTTTCTATAAGCCTTTTGAAGGCAGAAGAAGGCAAACTCCGATTTGCATCTCCATGTCCATAGTAAGTAGATATCTCTTCATCAGCAGCTTGCTGATTCAGTAGCAAAGAGAATCTCGCGTGTCTGCATAGCAAAGCGTACAACGCGAAGATCCCACCTTTTTATTTCAACAACACAAACCAAAACAAAAATTGATCTTTAAGTATTTAGTAGAAAGAAAACGAATCAATAAAGTTGCAACCTTTATATTACCTTCACCATTATCGTCTGCGGTTAATACAAAAACCATGTATTTGATGAGTGAGAGGAGAGTGATGGTCCAGAATATCAAAGAGAACGCTCCAAAGATTGTATCTTCTGTTTGGTGATGACTCAACCCTCCATAGAATGTACATTTATAGACGTAGAGAGGAGAGATGCTCAAATCTCCAAACACTAGACCAAAGCTCTGATATGCTAAAAGGAGAACATGATGAGAAGAACAACTGTTTCTCATATCAACCTGTTTCAGGATTAAGACAAAAACAAAACTCACTTTTATCTAACAAGCTGGTCATAAGTGAAGTGAGTGATACACATTAATGAAATGGGTTCAAGTTTCGTATTTGATGAGAAATTTTGCTAAGCCACTTAAGGTCTACGTAAGGAAGAAGAAGCGAGTGATAGAAGAAGAAACAGAGTCGAAAGATGCTGAGCGGGAATAAGAAGAGCTTTGACTCAGATGACGTGGATTTGTTTGTTGCATTTTATAATTCATTGTATATAAAGAATAGGGAATACATTTTACGGGTTTTCATCGAGAACTTGGAAAACAGGGGTCACAGGAGATAGAATTCTCTGTGAAATCAGACGATCATCGAGAGCTTGTTCTCGTGATTGTTTTGGGTTGATCGTCATCGGAGAGTCTCCGTTACGTATCAATCGTGTATTCGTGTGTTGAGTGAATAAAAAGATACTTTTCTCTTAACAATTGGTGCGGGGAGCAAGCGAATCTTCGCGACGGCAAAAATGGCGGATATCGAAGACGTGACAGAGGTGATGCAAGGAAATTTGGTGGAGTTGAATCAACAGATGACGGCGGTTCGTGGGGGTTGGGAACGGCTGACAGAAGCTAACTCCGAAATCAAAGGCCGATTAAATTCCATGGATAAGCGTTTTGAGACGATCGATAAAAGCATGATGTTGATGTCGCAAACCCTAGCTCGGATTGAGGTGAATCAATTTTCCGAGAAAGCGGCAGGGAAAGCAGTTGCGACGTCGTCCGGCACCGTGAATGAGGTTAGTCCATCTCAGACTGAGAACAATCCGGTGAACACACAGTTAGGTTATCGGGACATTAGTAATGTACTAGAGAATAGATCGGGTTTGCTGAAGAAGATAGAGTTACCGATCCTTGATGGTACAAGCCCGTACGGTTGGATAACGATGGCTGAAAGGTTCTTCCGTTTGGGAAATTATTCCGATGTGGACCGTATGGATCTGTTGTCAGTGAGTTTACAAGGACCAGCTCTGAATTGGTTTAACAGAGAGATGGAGATCAATCCTTTCAACGACTGGACACAGTTTAAGAAAAGACTGATTGCTAGATTCTGCTTAAAGGTGGAGGAGAATCCAGGAAAACGGTTGTTCAGCATGAAACAAACAGGATCCATCGTGGATTATGTCAATGAGTTTGAAGAATTGTCCACGATAGTCAAAGGCGTTGATGAAGCAAACCTTGAGCATGTATTCTACATTGGTTTGAGACCAGAAATGCAAGAGGTGGTTAAAATGAAGAAACCTCAGGGTCTCACAGCTCATTTTGAGGCGGTTATCTCTATAGAAGATAGCGTTTTCTGTAAATCTATGGCAGATACAGCTAACACGTCGGGGTCAAAACGGGTTTCCACCTTTGTTCCATTAAAAAGCTCATCGGTTTACAACTCTCAGCGCGAACTTGGCACTCTTCAACTACACTACCTGATACTTCGAAAGGAAACTCTCAAGTACCAGAGCAGAGTACAGGCGTGAAGAGTCAATTAAGTGGGAAACCACCATGGAGAAACCAAACGAGTGGACGGCCTCAAAACAAATTAAAGCTAAGTCCTGAAGAGTATGCTGAAAAACGAAGGCTCGGATTGTGTTTTTACTGCCCTGAGAAGTTTTCAAGAACCCATAAATGTCAGAATATGGAGTTACAAGTGTACACCGTGGTAAATGGGGTTGAGATTCCACTCGCTGAACCCGAGTGGAGCATTACACTAGAGGAGGAGGAAAGCGAGATTACAGAGCTGATGGAGTTATCTCTGTTTTCATTCTTGGGCTTAGACTCGCCATGCACAACAAAGCTGTGGGGGACAATTGACAAAACAGAGGTTGTTGTGATGTTAGACAGTGGAGCTTCACACAACTTCATAGACCCTTCGTTGTTAACTAAGACAAATCTTTCGCCAATACGGGACAAGAGGCTTGAGATCTTGTTAGGAACGGGGATCAGGGTGAATGCATCAGGAGTGTGTAAGGATGTTCAATTCAATCTTCAATCAGTGGATTATGAGGCTGATTTTATTCTGTTGGAGTTGGGAAAGGTTGATATGATATTGGGAGTGAAGTGGCTACGTACATTGGGCAAATGTGAAGTTGATTGGGATAATCACGAATATTCCTTTGTATATAAAGGTCAGAGAGTGACTTTACGAGGAGATATAGCATTAATGCAAGGAGAAAATGCTTTGAAAGCCATCGAAACAACGGATTACGCTCAACATTGTGGGTTTGATATAGAGTTGTTTCACACATCACCAAGCGTAGACACTCTTATGATTCCCGAGCAAATTCAGTTGTTGTTGGCAGAGTTTCAGAACATCTTTGCTGAACCTACACAGCTACCACCCCTGCGAAATAGAGAACATGCCATCAATCTAAAAGCAGGAGCTGGACCAATAAGTGTTCGTCCGTACCGTTACCCTCATGCCTACAAAGAGGAGATGGAGAAACTTGTAACGCAAATGCTCGAAGCGGGTACGATTAGGCCAAGTCGTAGTCCCTATTCTAGTCCGGTTTTGCTAGTAAAGAAGAAAGATGCAAGCTGGAGGTTCTGCATTGATTACAGAGCACTGAATAAGGTGACAATACCAGATAAATTTCCCATACCGATCATTGATCAATTATTAGATGAACTTCATGGAGCACAAATCTTTTCAAAGTTAGATCTTCGATCGGGTTATCATCAGATACGAATGTTGGAAGGAGACATCGAGAAAACTGCTTTCAGAACAGTAAATGGCCATTATGAGTTTCTGGTTATGCCCTTCGGGCTAACCAATGCACCTGCAACTTTTCAAGCCTTGATGAATGAATTATTCAGGCCTTTCTTGGGTCATTTTATCTTGGTATTCTTCGACGATATTCTGGTTTTCAGTCCGTCGTTAGAAACTCATTTGGAACATCTAAGAACAGTTATGGAGATATTTGTTGAACATAAACTGTTCGCCAATAAGAAGAAGTGCCTTTTCGGTCAACCACAGGTGGAGTATTTGAGTCATGTAATATCTCGAGATGGAGTAGCCACAGACCCAGCTAAGACAGAGGCGATGAAGAAGTGGCCTGCACCAAAAACGGTTAAAGAGCTGCGTGGATTCTTAGGGTTGACCGGGTACTACAGAAAATTTGTTAAAGGGTATGGTACAATTGCTCGTCCCTTAACAGAATTGTTAAAGACAGATCAGTTCGAGTGGTCAGAACGAGCTCAAAAAGCATTTGAGATTTTAAAAGAAGCTATGCTTACAGCTCCGGTGCTAGCATTACCTAATTTTGAGGAAAGCTTCGTTTTAGAATCTGATGCTTCAGGGTACGGATTGGGAGCTGTGTTGATGCAGGGGCAAAGACCAGTTGCATACTTCAGTTCTGGTTTATCCGACAGAGATCAAGTGAGACCCATTTATGAAAGAGAGCTCATGGCTATCGTGTTAGCAATACAGAAGTGGCGACATTATTTGTTGGGAAGAAAGTTCATAGTTCACACAGATCAGAAAAGCTTGAAATTCTTATTGGAGCAACGAGAAGTATCCTTAGAGTACCAGCGCTGGCTTACAAAATTACTGGGGTACGATTTTGATATCATTTATAAGCCAGGAGTAGAAAATAAAGCTGCAGACGGGTTGTCTCGCATTGTAAGAGAAAAATCAAATTTACATGCCCTGGAGTTGTCAGCTTTAACAGCTCCAACAAGTTTGCACCTGCAGGACATTCTCAAAGATATCGAAAAGGATGAGAAAATACAGGAATTGCTTGTAAGAGTGAATGCTGGTTCTGAAACACGAAAAGGCTATTCTGTGGTGAAAGGGCAGTTGATGTACAAGAACAGATTGGTCATTCCCAGAAACTCTAAACATATCCCTCAAATTTTGCAGGAGTACCATAATGGTTTGGTGGGAGGGCACTCGGGAGTTTTGAAAACTCTCAGAAGAGTGAAGAATCTGTTCTATTGGAGGAAAATGAGTAAGGACATTCAGAAGTATGTGGCTGAATGTGATGTATGTCAAAGACATAAATACTCAACATTGTCCCCTGCTGGTCTGTTACAACCGTTACCGATTCCTGATAAGATATGGGAAGCGATTTCAATGGACTTTATTGAAGGCTTACCATTGTCTCTTGGAGCTAATGTGATTTTTGTTGTGGTCGACCGACTGAGTAAATATGCTCACTTTATCAAGCTTAAGCATCCCTTTACTGCAGCGGATGTGGCACACAAATTCACTCAAGAGATAGTAAGACTTCATGGGTTTCCTCTATCGATTGTATCTGACAGAGATAAGATCTTCTTGAGTTCTTTTTGGAGAGAGCTGTTTCGATTAGCAGGGACACAGCTAAAGTACAGTACAGCTTTTCACCCTCAAACGGACGGGCAAACTGAGGTTCTCAATCGCTGCCTAGAAACATACCTTCGTTGTTTCGCGTCTTCACATCCTAAGTCGTGGAGCAAGTTTCTGACTTGGGCTGAATTTTGGTACAATTCGAGTTATCATACTGCCATTGGAACAACTCCGTTTAAGGTGGTTTATGGGCGAGATCCTCCAGATTTACTGAGATTTGAAGAAGGTTCAACGGCTAATTTCGAGTTAGAAACGATGCTGAAAGAACGTGATGCTATATTGAACCGCCTTAAGGATAATCTTGTCATCGCTCAGGCTAGGATGAAAGACAATGCTGATAAACATCGCCGAGAGCTGGAATTTGTTGTTGGTGACAGAGTCTTCCTCAAACTTCGTCCGTACAAGCAACAATCAGTGTCGAAGCGTTGGTGTCAAAAGTTAGCAGCAAAGTACTACGGACCGTTTGAAGTTATAGCCAAGATTGGAGCAGTTGCTTACAGGCTTAAACTTCCTCAAGATTCAAAAATTCATAATGTTTTTCATGTTTCTCAGTTAAAGCCAGTTCTGGGAGTTAATCACGAGGTGGTTCCCTTGCCAGAATCGTTACACAATGAACCAGATGTGGTTATTGAACCTGAAAGCATTGAAGATACTCGTTATGACAATGAGGGTCACTTAGAAGCTTTGGTTAAGTGGACTGGCCTTGAAGAACATGAACGCTCATGGGTTACTGCAGTGGATTTGATGAAGCAATTCCCACATTTAGCGCTTGAGGACAAGCTTCGTTTTGCCGAGGGGGGTATTGCTAAGCCACTTAAGGTCTACGTAAGGAAGAAGAAGCGAGTGATAGAAGAAGAAACAGAGTCGAAAGATGCTGAGCGGGAATAAGAAGAGCTTTGACTCAGATGACGTGGATTTGTTTGTTGCATTTTATAATTCATTGTATATAAAGAATAGGAAATACATTTTACGGGTTTTCATCGAGAACTTGGAAAACAGGGGTCACAGGAGATAGAATTCTCTGTGAAATCAGACGATCATCGAGAGCTTGTTCTCGTGATTGTTTTGGGTTGATCGTCATCGGAGAGTCTCCGTTACGTATCAATCGTGTATTCGTGTGTTGAGTGAATAAAAGGATACTTTTCTCTTAACAAATTTCTCAAAAGAAATCTGAAACTATACGAAGAACATCGCGCAAACACAAGATGCGGTTGCATCACACGAGCAAAATTTCTTTAAAATTCCATGATTGAAATCAGATTGTTCGATCGGATATCTCGATCGATTCAGAAACATGCAGTGATCGAAAGATGAGAAGCAAAGGAAGGAGTAACACACCATGATTCTCACGACGTACGGATCTCTAAATCAAAGATGGGAGATTAATTACTGAATCGAGATCGAATCGCAAAAAAAATGTGAAGATTATCATTTGGTTGGCTTATTAAAATCGATACGAAGAAGGGGGAAAAAAAAACACAAATGCGAATCTGAAAATGCTCGCGGGGCTTTCCTTTCTTCGTGTTGTATTGTGTATATTTTGTTTCTTCGGTTGGATTAATATTTGAATGTGTTTTTTCATATTCTCTTTTTAATTTCTGGGTTTTGGTGGGACCCGGAATCTGGTTTTCAATTGAGATTTTCTCGGTTTAGATTGGTTCGTTGATAACGGTTTAGAGTGGTTCGTTTAATTCTTGTACATACACATGGGTCATACGGTGTAGAAATGCCATATTCATAAAATTAAGAAGCCCAAGCCCAATAAGCGTTGGCCATGACACACTCTCACTACCCGCAGCGATCTTTCTTCTCGGCGGCGCAGAAATTAATCGCCGGGTAAACTCAGTTTAAGGTGCCGATCTTTAGTTTCTTTCACACATTTCTAAATTTAGGCTTTCTGATTGTAGTCTCAACATTGGCTAAGAAAAAAAATGATAAAAGAGTTTACATTATGCAGAAAACTTTATAGGTTCTTGCAGAGAGCATTGTGAAGCTAACTTTGACTATGTCTTTTTTCTAAAATCAGAGACCTTTTTCTGAAATTCTATGGAGCTAAAGAAACAACATGGAAGGTACCAAGTGAAAGCTATGAAATTAGCAAAAGACGCAAATCTCTTTAATCGTGGTGAAGAGTAACCAGAGAAGTTAGACTCAGCAGCGACTCAAATCACTCTCATTGCTCTGTTGATGTGTTTGCTTCATACCTTTGCAATAAATCTAAGACTTTTAGTTGATTGATACATTCTTGAGACTTTAGTTGGCTTTGATTATTAGATTTGTAATTCTGAGACAGAGACCGATTGAGTAACAAAGTTGGTTCTTTTGTAATGATCAAATAGGTTCATATAGTGTATTTGCATGATGATCCTGAGTTTATCACGGAATCTCATCATCAGATGTTGTGGTCACTTCTTGGAAGGTATGTAGAAAATAGTTTCTCTTCCTCATAAGTACATATAGTAATGTCTCACACTGTTACTCAGGTTTCTTGCTTTTGTTCCCGTGACTACAGTAAAGAGGATGCTCATGATTCAATGGTTTACAGTTACCGACACGGCTTCTCAGGTTTTCCAAGTCCCAAGCCAAGAAACTAGCAGGTACTTACTCTTTAAGTTTCATCTTTTCTTGGCATCTTAGGAATCGGACTCATATACATGACATTGTTTGTCTCAACAAGCCAATCTGAATTTTGTTTTCTCTTTGGCAACAGCTTTACCTGAAGTTGTTCATGTCATACAGGATAGTTTCTACAAGCTGAAAACAACTCGGACTTGGGACTACTTAGACCTGTGGAAGTTGCCAGATATTCTTGTATTCCATTTTAAACGGTTCACGTATAGCAGATATCTCAAGAACAAGATTGATATTCCCAATCCGTGATCTAGACTTGAGCAAGTACGCGAAAAAACAAGAATGGCCGGTCATACTTACTTATATGAGCAACCATTACGGTGGACTTGGTGGTGGTCACTTGATTGGTCTCACTTTCTATTTGCTTTGCCTACGCTAAGGTTGGTGACTTGATTGGTCTCACTTTCCATTTGCTTTCTTGTTGCACACTCGTTACTATCATATATCAGACTAGACTTTCTCTTGTGCTACTGCTTACTACTAGTGCTTCTGATCTAATCATATGTGTCACTGTTCCTGCAGTTGATTGACGAAAACAAATGGTATCATTTATGTTTCATCTGTAAATGAATCCGAAATCAAAAACTCAGCGGCATATCTTCTGTTCTACGGAAGAGTGAAAAGTGAAACAGAGACGAAATCAGCTGAGATGTCGAGGACTGATATAGGTTAAGTCACGAAGTTGCTGCATTGGTCTCACTCACTCTCATGTCAGGTAATGTTCTTTCTTAGTTCAAGGACTGATATAGACTTCTCTGCTTCAGGTTTTATGATGTTTATTTTAGTAGATCTCTATGTTTCTTTGGACAGAGAAAGACTTCTATGAGTGGTTGCAGGCTTGCAGCAAGCATTTAATGTTGATTAGAGTGAGAGCCCTGCTCCTATGAGCTTTTTGACCCAAGACATTGCCTTTGGAACGACCAAGCAGAGGTATTTGAGTGAAGCGTTTGGGGGTTTGATGTTATAGAAGCAAGTCTGCAAAGAAAAATGTTGTTGGAAAGATGTAACAACAGGCTTGCAAGTTAAAATCTTTCTCTGTGAATGTGCATAAGATGTAGGCTAAGCAATTCCAAGTTCGAAGCTTTATTTCTTCCCGTCAAAAGCCCATATATGAAGCGGGCTAAAATGGGTTTTGTCCAACTTCACCCATGGGCAAAACGGGTTTGGACATTCTGACTTAAAAAGCTTGGTTAAAACTGATTTGATTAAAATTGCAATATTCTATTTTCTTATACAATCTACAAAATTTCATTTTTATGATAATTGTGAAATCTGGTTTTTTGTCAAAGATTTTTCAACCAAATTCTAAAATTATATATTTCCACCAAAAAATCATATAACTACAAAAACTGCAAAATTATATTTTCCACCAAAATCGTACAATTCTATTTTTTCTAAAAACTGCAAAATTACAATTACATAAATAAAATAAACCGATTGATATAGTATTTGTCAATTAGCAAAAAATAAAATTAAATTAAATTGAATGTTCATGGATAATGAACAATGTTGGACAGGTCAAAATAGACATGAACACCATTTTGATAGTTCTGCTTTTTTTCTTCAAACTCCATCTGTTTATTTCCTTTAGCTTTGTCCAATTCACTATTAACATTGTTAGAGATGAGATTCGTACAGTTTCTAACAAGCCCGATATGAATTCTAGTCGGCCCATCTAACAATTCCCAGGTCGGCAACATAAAAGGAAAGCTTCCATTTATCAAGCGACCCGGAGAAAAAGAAAACTCCTTGCCGACAAGAGTTTCCTATTCCGAACAGGATGAAGACCGACCTGATCGGGTATAAATATAGGAAGTCCTCGACTTCTCAATCCATCCGAAAATCATTAATCTAGAGCAAACTAAGCAATCAGATTGTTCTAGCCTTTTTGGTTTACTTTCCTTAAGAGTTTTAGGTCGGCGTTCTTATTCCGACGACCTAAACACCGTTGTATTCAATCAAGCTCCGGCTTCTTCTAATAAAAGATCTCTTTAAAACCCTCAAAACCCTAGTTCTTTCGTAGATCGAACTTGAGTTTTTACAGTTGGCGCCGTCTGAGGGGAGAAAGAGACTAAATCTTTAAAAGAAGTCGGGCTCAAAGATGGTCGATAAACACCACCGGTTAAACTAAAAAAAAAATCTCATAGCTCGACGATGAACAAAAAAACCAGGTCGTCTTCTTAGACCGTGTCTTTCATATCCTTCCAGGTCGTCCTTCCATTCGCTCTTAGGTTGGGGCATTTAAAGATGAGGACTTTTAAGTCAGACTTCTGTTATACGCCCCAAGCTATATTTCTTCACCGAGCTGAACGTCTCAGTCCCTGACAAAAAACCCAACGCAAAAAAAAATGAGAATACGGAGCTCACCATACGAGTCTCCGCTTGGAGCGTTCCTATCAATGGCTTCCACCACACGAGATTTGACGACATGAGATACAAAACCATCATCCAAAGAGCAACCACTCGTCAAGATAAGTTTTTAATAATTCGATCTGATATTCTATGTTAATTGTTTGTTGAGTTGTATTAGATTCCTCTTTGAACTTTATTATCAATTACAGTTACACTTCCTTGCTAACCACAAGTATTAACACGATTTTTGCTGCTGCATGATTTGATGTTGAGGATTCAGAAAATTCCTAATCAAAGAAAAAGAAGGCGATTTCAGAAGACTGACCTAATCAGCTCGTCACCCGTGAAGCTCGTCTCCCTCGCAGCTCGTCTTCCTTGCAGCTCGTCTCCCTCGCAGCTTGTCGCCCTGTCGCAGCTGTACAGATCGTCACCCTCGCAGCTGTACAGCTCATAGCTCTCTCCCTGATTATCAGCTCTGCAAATCAGTTTGTCAGCCCTCTGGCCAATTCAGATCGTCACCCTCGCAGCTATGCAGCTCGGCAGCTCTGCCAAAAAAAAAAAACTGAACAAAATTCTAATTATAAAAAGCCACACGGCTCAAAGTGGAAGCTCTTATACCAAAGGCATACCGTGCTTCACACTTAAAAGGAAAACTTATCTTCTAAAAGTTAGCTCGGCTCATCAAAGATTCCGACGTGATTAAAACGTCATATGACGAACCCAACATACGAACTCATGCTCCTTCTCTAAAGCATGGTTTACGGCATACGAGTCACAAGGGCAATGAGTTACTGTTAATTTGAGAGATGTCGAGTTGCCTCCGTCATCCAACGTTCACAGCAAAAGAAGTGTGACGAGATTATCAGACATCACTGTCTCATGACATCATTAGATAATACCTAAAGTTTCAAGCTGAAGTAACATCTAAAGGCAGTCATCAATTCTTTACGAGCTCGTCTCCATCAGATCGTTTTCTATACCACAACAGAATTCTAAAAATGAGTTATGCCGAGCTAATAAAAAAAAGGAGGGGGCTAGTACCACCAAGCTAACTCACGCTCAATCTCTCAACTCATCATATTCAGAAATTTTGATGTGGTTTAAATTCATGTGCGCTACTACTAAGGTATTTAGCAAAATTCTAATCAAAGAAGAAAGAAAGATAACTTAGAAGAAGCTACATTGGTTGCACACCAACAACCGAGGAATCACTCCTTGGGTGCAAATAAGGTCCCGACATATCCACCATCATCTTAGGAGTCTTAAAAAAAGCAGGTCGAGACCCTAAATATGGCAGAAAACCCATTTTGAAACTTTTCTTCTCGGGCAAGAAATCACTGAAACCTGCAACCTGAAACCAAAACATAAACAGTACGGGTTAAGGTTTTACGAGGTAAATTCCGGGACGACCAGAATTATTCAGATCGCGTAAAAGGTGTCTTTGGAAAGCTCTCTCTTCATAGAATCTACAGAATTTTACGGCGCTTCAATCAGAGTAATACTTCTTCAGAAAATCGCTCCACAAGTTAGCCAAAAAACCTGATATTTTTGGAAAACTACTCTCAACACATCATCTTCAGAAGAACGTGGGAGGCTCAAATCACTTCCGATCAAGCCGATATTCGGTCTGCTACACGATAGCATGTCGAACTCCATAATCAACGGTGGGATTGCAAAACGAACGGTGAATTTTTTATATATTCACGTCTTCTTGAAGCTACATGCAGGATAAAACAATGACATATATGTCAAAGTTCTGCTATTGGGAAACAAGCTCGTCAATCTCACAAATCTCTGTCAGCTCGTCACCGAGCTCATAGCGAGTCACTCTGATTAGCTCGTCATACACAGCTCGTCACAACTTCTAGCTCTTCAGCTTCAATCATCCTCAAACAAACCGACCTGCTGCTGAACACAGTTTCTCTCATGCATCAAGAAACAGCAACCAATGTAAAATAAAAAAAATGACGAGCTTATTGTACGGGCTCCCACTCTTTCAAGCCAAGTTCTTCAATAATTCACCATGAGCCACGATGGCGACACGTTGCCATAGTTCTGATTCAAAAGGTACAACAAAGATATCAAGCAAGATACGAGACCCAAAGCAAGAGAGAAAAAATAGGCTCTTAAACTCGAGTTCCCTGTACTCCGACGTGAAAAATCACATCAAGATTTTAACGAATCCAACGCGGTCTTTGCTTTCAAGTCCAAACTCTCCGTCGAGTATTAAATCTCGATCTGCGACTTTATTACCGAGCTTCACCAAAGCTCATCTACCTCACTGAGCTGTAATCTTCTCCACCGAGCCATATCACAGCTCGTTTTCAACACCGAGCTACATCACACAGCTCGTCATGCTTAAGTGAGCTCACCAGCTCGTCATAATTCACTAGCCTCAGCTCGTCAATTTATTGCTTTGAGCTCGTCATCTCGCATCTGAGGTTCATCATCAATGACTCCACCGGTCTTCACCTCATCAATTCATTGTAGCCCACATACTCATGAGCTCATCTTCATCAGCTCGTCCAGAATCTCCAAGTCGTTTGTTCTCCATTCTCAAGAACGAGCTATGTTCTCGGTGACCAATTCACGGAGCTACATTACTAGTCAAATTTCAAGACAGCTTTCTCAAGCTTTAGCTCGGAAACAAACTCCTAAGTCTGAAGAAATAGCTTAAGCGATACACTTCATCCCATTAGCGGTAGTTTCCGCGAGCTCGCACCTTGACGTTTCTTATTAGCTCGTCAGCTCAAGCATATTGTTCGTTCAAGACATACCGATCTGCTCGGTTTTACTATCACAAAAACAAAGAACGACACAAGCACACAAACTGCCCCTCAAGCTTTAAAAGAACTCCTACCAAGGACGAGCTCCTTTGGCAAGCTTACCTTTTCGCTCCTTCAAATTCGATACACAGTCCGTTCTTCATGAGTCCTGAGCTCATCACTCTGTTATACTAAGGCAACTCATCAGCTCGTTTTCTACACATCAGTGCATATATTAGATCGTTGGATCATCGGTTTATCAGCTCGTTCGTTCTGCGCAAGCTAGTCGTCTAATCAAATCTCATATGTTGCATGCAAGCTCGTCGTCTACTCAGATGTCGTACGTTGCATGGATTCTTCATGTTAATTATTGCATTCCGCAAAGATCACCTATTGCCGTCCTGCTTAAGTTGTACCTCCATCACTCATGCTTATCAGCATGTAGACTCGTTGATACCTCACGTTCTGATTGCACCATCAAATCTCGATGAGCTCGGCATTCATCTGGAGCTCATTCACGGGCTTTCATAGCACCACAAAAATAAGCCAAGCATCGTAAACCTCCACCGGGTGAGCATTGTAAGCCTTGCACATTCAAAGCCGATCTCACAATCTCACATTGGAAGCTGAGTTTCAGGTCTCGCATCTATAAAAAAAAATAAAAAATAAAATAAAAATAAAAATAAAGAGTTCCCGAGCTCAACAAAAGCCGACCTTAATTGGTGGTAAATAGCGCCGACCTCACAATTGGTCGCAATTAGCGCCGATCTCACGTCTTAATAACCCAAGCTCATCTCATCTCGACCTCATCGTACTCTCCCGAGCTACGTTACCAATTACTAGTCTTCTCAACCTACCATACAACTCGTCTTCTTTTCCGAGCTGCGGAACAAAGAAGAAACGAGCGAAGCAAAGCAACAAAGACCCAAAGCCGGACATCTTTAGTGTCTTCATCGGATAACTCCATTGTCTTACACGAAGCTCTCAAATCTTCAAGATCGGATGTTTGATTCACCCAAAGCTAAAGCCTGATCCACTTTAGCTCGGCAACTTCCAAGCCAAGACTTCTCTTGCGCATAAAGCAGTTAACCTGCATATAAGCCGACCTGTTTCGCAAAGTCCGAATCATACGATGGTCATAAGCCAAGCCAGTCTTGCTCCTGTATTCGAATAGGATATTTCTAAGTGGTACTAATAGAAAAACGCCGACCTGATTCGCATATTAGTATTCACACTTAGAAATTAAGTGGTACAAACAAATGTAAGCCGAGCCTCTCGCACGTTTGTATTCACACTTTTTTAAAAAAAGCCAGAACCCGCTCTGCATTTTCTAAGTCATGCAAAACTATTAAGCCGACCTGATCGCACCTTGCATTCGACTTTGGAAAATTTCTAAGTCATGTAAACAAACAAAGCCGACCTCAACTTGCTGGTTTACATTCAGACTTAGAAATATTAAGTCATACGAACAATTTAAAGCCGATATCGCATCGCACGTTCGTATTCGACTCTACAAAAGCCGAGCACACCTCGCAATCATATCATAGAATGAGCCGAGCATAGTCTCATATACCAAGCCGAGTTCTTTAGCTCGTTATACTTCACTTCAGCTCGGTAAACTTCTCTATACGCGCCAATCTTGAAAACTAGACGCCATCAAATGGTTGACCTGAAAAAGCTTAGAGAAATGATGCCTCATTTTTTTCTAACTTTTAGAATGGTCCGATCTGAATTCATATCGAGCAACACCTTGAAATTCACCAAGTGACGTATCCTCACTTGCCGAACTGGGGGGGGGACTTACTGTTAGAGATGAGATTCGTACCGTCTCTAACAAGTCCGATATGAATTCTAGTCGGCCCATCTAACAATTTTCAGGTCGGCAACATAAAAGGAAAGCTTCCATTTATCAAGCGACCCGGAGAAAAAGGAAACTCCTTGCCGACAAGAGTTTCCTATTCCGAACAGGATGAAGACCGACCTGATCGGGTATAAATATAGGAAGTCCTCGACTTCTCAATCCATCCGAAAATCATTAATCAAGACCTAGAGCAAACTAAGCAATCAGATTGTTCTAGCCTTTTGGTTTACTTTCCTTAAGAGTTTTAGGTCGGCGTTCTTATTCCGACGATCTAAACACCGTTGTATTCAATCAAGCTCCGGCTTTTTCTAATAAAAGATCTCTTTAAAATCCTCAAAACCCTAGTTCTTTTGTAGATCGAACTTGAGTTTTTACAAACATAACAGATAAAATCTACTAAATAAAAGTGTTGGATGAAGTGTAGATACATTAGACCTAAAAAAAATCTGAACTCACTAAAAATTTCTTCATTTTTTTAGTTTAGAAAAAAAAATCTTTTTTTTAGATATCTAAACGGTTGAATACCCACCGACTTAATTAAACCCATCTTTGGTGTATAAATGTAACACATTCGCTACGAATTTATCACTTTTATACAATTATTTCAATTTTCTCTCTCACTTTAATTTTTTGTAGAAGTGATTCAATTTCTTTCTTGTAACTCAATTTTTTGTACAAAGAAAAAATTTAACTTTTGAGTTTGTAATTTCTTCTTTTAAAATTCTCCTATTTATTAAAGAAGATAAACTACGCAAGGGGGATCAAACGAATGTTAATTTCATTTTAAATCAGATTTCAATTTATTTATTTTTATCAAACTAAATCAAAATAAATGAAAAAAAACCTGAAGTCACTAAAAGTTCCTTTTTTTTAGTTTAGCAAAACAAAAAGGAAACTTTCCTTTTTCTTTGATATCCTCCAACGGTACAATACCCACACCGAGTTAATTAAACCCACCCTTTCTCTATTAATGTATCAAATTAGCTACAGATTTATCACTTTTCTGCGATTTTTTCAATTTTCTTTCTCGCTGTGATTTTTTTTTAAAGAGTAGTGTGATTCAGTTTCTTTCTTGTAACTCAATTTTCGAGAAACCCTAATTTTCAAGTCTAATTGAAAGATGATGCAGCCGAAGGAAGAAATCGTGAAGTTTTTGGGAGACGGTTCCTACGGTTTCGTTGAGCTCGTCAGATACACCAAACACGACGGTTCTTCGTTTCAGGCCGCCGTTAAAAGCTGTTACCCCATGGAATACGACAACCTTCAGAGAGAGTGTGAGATTCTGCGCGAACTCAGGGGATACCCTAGAATCGTCGAGAGCTTTGGAGAGGATCTCGAAGAAGGTAGCTGCGACGGAAGAAAAGTCTACAAATTGCTTCTCGAGTACGCATCGGAAGGGAGTCTGAGTTCTTTCATGGACAATTACACCGACAGAAAACTTCCCGAGCCGATGATCAGAGACTTCACCCGCATGATTCTCGAAGGTTTGGTCTCGATTCACGACCACTATTACGTTCACTGCGATCTCAAACCCGCCAATCTCCTCGTGTTCCCGTCGAGCGATGGTTCGTACGAACTCAAGATTTCCGATTTCGGAAACACTTTGGAAATCGCTGAAGTTCCTCACTACTGGGGACCCCATTGCCGGTTTGTGGGAACACCGAACTACATGCCGCCGGAGTCTACCATTGACGGCGCCGTTGAGAAAACCCTAGATCTGTGGTCGTTGGGAGGCTTGGTGCTGGAGATGTTCACCGGTGAGACTCCATGGGAAGGGGTTGCACTCAATGATCTCGTGATTCATCTCGTCGTCGATAATAAAGCTCCAGAGATTCCGGAGAGTGTGCCTTGCGACGCAAGGGAGTTTATTGAAACCTGTTTCTCAAGGGTTCCCGAGAAGAGAGGGAGTGCGTCTGAGCTATTGTCTCATCGGTTCTTGTTGCGTCGAGAAGAGGAGAAGACGGATGAGAAGATTACCGCCGTCGTCGTATCCGAACAGAGAAGAAACTCGTTTCTGTTGAACTTAAAGTTGAGAATCAGAGGAGCTTTCAAGAAATCAAAGGATGTTTCAGAGAAGAAGACTAAGCCTATGAAATCCAAGATTTTTCCATTGAAGCCAACACAGTTTAAGAAAGCTCTGAATAAAGTCTTGAGCTTGAAGATTAAGCCTATGAAAGTCTCGGATTCTAGTATGATTTCTGTTCAGCGACTTTCTGAATTCTATCATTCCTGTTTACTTTTTAGTATATGTAGATCGTATAATCTCCGGTTTCAATCTGTATATGTTACGGCAAGTTACATTTTCTTTTAATATTTTGTTACATCTTTGGTAACTCTTTTGCTTACTTATGATCCCAACAACAGTACCATTTCAGTTTCTTAACATCTTTTGATTTCTTTCTTTGGCACTCACCATTGTTTGTCATATGCTTAAAAGGCACTTCAGTTTAAAACATATCGCATATATTGCTTGTGATAAGTGATAACCATATGCAACAACATATATGAACTCACACATTAGTATATAACACCCTTGAGGTTCAAGCTTTACTAACAAATGCAATTTGTACAAAAAGGATTGACAGAAAAAGGCAAACTCTAACATCCTGGTTCTGCCTTACTATGTCTAATCACAACAAACAAACACATGAAACCAAAGTTACAGGACGATGTTAGTTTTTTCAGAATTGGAGAATGGATTCCGATCCATACCTCAAATAGTTCCATTGCTCTGCCGTCTCAATTCGTGTCATCTTTCTTCACAAACTTCGAAGATGTTACATTTTTGGTTAAATCTTTTGAGGTAAAGCTATTAGACGGAATGTGACCGGATGATCATTCATTCCAAGCTGTAAAGAAAGGAAAATAATCTTAAACAATGTAGAAATCCAAAGAACAGACAAGTTAGCATCCTCAAGCTACATGTCAATGGGCATGAAACAAATCTACTGATGTAGCAGGAGCATCATAAACAACAACGGACCAGGAGCAAAGGTGACTGATGTAAAGATGTACTAAAAGAAGCTGACGAAAGAGAAGATCAACTTCATTTTCCATATATACTAGTTAGTTATACCATCTGCAACTGCCTGAATCGCAGGACGTTCTTAGAACGAATCATAAACTTTATTACTCATTTCGGTCTTTCTAACCAAAACAGTCACATATAGTCACACAGGAACATATATACTAGTTTTGTTTTGGTAAATGGAGCTTTACCGGAACTCGAGCAGGTAATGAAAAGGGTCAGCTGTATGCAGAGTATCGATGCTAAGAACAATGAATCCATGGCTGAATCTCCCAATTACAGAGAAGAGATGCAAAGGCAAAACATCTCCACAAGCAAGTAACGCCACTGCTGAAGAAATCAGCCAAAACTGAAATTCACAAAACAGAAAAACAAAAGCAAATCAGTTGGGGATAAAGCAAAGCAAAGCAAAGCAAGAGCAAGTGTCAGTTACCTCCTCGAAGAGGTGAAAGAGACGCGAGAGGAGGAGGAGACCTCAGGCTCGTCGCCGTCGGTGAAGAGGGAAGAAATTGAGAGAACCAGTGAGAAGCTTTGAGATGTTTAAGTTGAAAAAAGTTTTCCAAAAGATTTTGCATATGTAAAAGCCCATTTATCATTTGGGACACCCAAGCCCAATAAGCGTCTGTCCCTCACTTTGGTTCTAACAAATGATCAGTTTCTGTTCCGTAGACGGGATTGTTTTTTATGACCAGCCCTAGTTTCGTTCCTCGCCACCGTGTAACCCACCGGAAATTTCAACCTAAGGCTTTGTGATTCTTGACCTCCGTCCCTATATTTTAACATTTCATATCTGTTGCATCGACATTAGCTTAGAAAATGAAAAGAGTTTCACCGAGAAATTTTCATGTTTTCTTAAAACCTCGGAGACTTTTCTGTAACTAATTCTCAAGTTTTCTATTTTTCCGGCAGAGTATGGACTGAGTCAGAGTGCATGTACACCTGAGTTACCGGTTTAGGAGAGTCAAACCAACCCGTTATTTGCTGATCTATATATAACAAGTAAAATCTTCTCATTTTGATTCTTGTGTTTGCTTCTTATCACATTACTTTGTCTATTGCTCTCTTGGTTGTTGCTCCATCCTTTGCCGTAAACTATATATACTTTAGCTGACTTAAGGTTTTGATATCTTCTCTACGTTTTTGTGTGTTTGGATTTACTAAAGTTAGAACATTTCCAAGAAATATAAACATCCTTGGTCAAACTCTTCTTGAGTAGAGATGTTTATATAAATGCTTAAGCTTCCTCGATGTTAGTCCCCCTAGTACTGTTATCTGTTCTCTATATGCAGCATATTCATCTGTAAGAGTATATGATAATGCAGATGGGTCAATGAGCCTTCTTGGGACTTACCTCTGAGCTTGCTTCTGGAGCAAAGCCGAGTTATTTCTGCCGTTTATTTTCTTTGTGCACAAATTACTTCTGGATCCATCTTGACCCTTGTGAAGGAGTGTATGACAAACCCATGCTATGTCTGAAAGGGTAAGTTTTTCTTTCTTTCCATGATTTTCTTTGAACAATCCCCATTATGCAAGTGAAGAGCTATTGTTATTGTTTACTTGTTTCTCATTTTTCAATTACTAAAACTGGAAAAAACCATACAACCGTCTGTTTCATTTGAATCCGTTTTATTCTGGTTTTATTTATATCGTATCATCTGCTTGCATCTAGATCAGATTGTAGTGATACTGGTATCGTGTTTCTGTCACAAAAACTCTTTACCACACTATTGCACTTGATTACTTGTTTAATTGTATTAGACAGGAAACACAATGGGAGAAGCTGCAGATCAAGCCGACGTTGCACAGATCCTTTCTAACATCAACTCCAGACCAAAGGGGATCGTGTAGGCAGGATACAGCAACCTGTTGTACAGAAGAGTGGGAAGTGAAACAGAGACAGAATCAGCTGAGATGTCGAGGACTGATATGGATTAAGTCACCAAGTTGCTGCATTGGTTCCACTCACTCTCATGTCAGGTGATGTTCTTTCTTAGTTCAAGCTGGTGGATGAAGAGTTCTCTGTTTCAAGGTTTTACGATCTTATTTTGGCAGATCTCTGTGAAAATTTGGGATTTAGGTTCGGAAGATTGTTTTTTGATTAGGGAATTTTCTAGGTGAAGGGGTACATTTTTGGGTAGTGATGAACAGATTTAGATGTGTAGAGATAAAGTCTGTGAAGAAGTCTCTTCGGACTTGGATTGATTCTTAGTTATTTAGACACATAAAAGAAGCTATTCAATAATACCATTTCCCTCTACATAAAAAAGAAGAAGAAGAGATTCTTTGTTCCTGACATTGTTGTTGTTCTTGGCTTTCCTGTTTGACAGTTTAACATAAAGAAAAAAAGCGTTTCGTCCTGTTGTGTATTAAATTGTTGTTTCAGGAACTGCTTGCTTTCTTATTAGATGGCTGCATGAAGATTTGAATAAGGTGAAACAAAAACCTTACGTCGAGCTTAAAGACTTGGACAGTCGTCGGGATGATGACACTGATATGTATAAGGCCTGGAATGATTCTGCAATAGTTAATGCCTGCCAAGTAAGTATCTGTAACCTTTTTTAATCGCTTCTCCCATTGAAGGTTCATCTTGTTCTAGTTTTTCATACAAGAACGGGAAGATTCTGTCTGTCACTTTTGTCAACACAGAACCACTGAGTGGAACTGACATTGATGCAGTTATCTCTGGATTTCTGTCACCTCTACACAGGGTTCAAGCCTCATCTAAGATTCATAATGGAAGAGAAAATGGCCACGTTCCTCACGCTGCTGCTGACGAAACATCCGGAAGTAAATCATCACCAGACACCGAGATAGACGATGCATCTGACAGAGAGTTGTCCTTCAGGATCTTCTTGACGGATGAGTGTGGTTTGAACTTCAAACCACTTCAGCCCGAGTCTTTATGTGAACCCTGGTACCGTTACAAGAGTTTTAGTCGAGTGGGATGAGACCGTGCATGAAAAATATGATTCCAGCTACTTGAGTGACCTTCCTGAGGTTCATAAAACTAGTTTCTCTGCATCGAAGACAAGGCAAGAAGCGATATCTCTGTTTTCGTGTTTAGAGGCGTTTTTAGCCGAAGAGCATCTGGGACCAGATGACATGTGGTATAGCACTCGTACCTTGAACTTGTGATCGCTTAAGCTGATCTATTCGTTTGAAGATTTAAGTTTTGGCCATTTTATCTCACCATTCTGAACACAGGTTTTGTCAGGGATGCAAAGAACACAGACAAGCGAACAAAAAGCTAGACTTGTGGAAGTTACCAGATATTCTCGTATTCCATTTAAAAACGGCTCACGTATAGCAGAGATCTCAAGAACAAGACTGATACGTTTTGTGAATTTCTCAATCTGTGATTTAAGTCACCAAGTTGCTGCATTGGTCTCACTCACTCTCATGTCAGGTGATGACACCTCTGTTCTTTCTTAGTTCAAGCTGGTGGTTGAAGAGTTTCTCTGTTTCAGTTTTTAGTAAAATCAACAGTCTGTCGTAAACCGAAGCCTTATGTTATTGATCTCAACTTGACACCGACATTCTCTTCTACATACGCTCCACAAGGTATCGTTACCCAACTTTCACTGACCAAAGCATTTCAAGGATCAGATCATAACCTATGTTGCCACAAACTTTTCAGTTTTACAGATCTCCTCCCGTAAAGATTCTGTCTTCAAGAACACTTGTTCTCTCAATAGTTCTCACAATGGCTCTACTCCTATTGTTTCAAGAGTTGTAGTGCTCCACGAATCACTACATCCTCACTGGTCTCCTCCTTCTATCAAATCGGCAATTGTCACCATAGATTCTTCTCATTCTCAAATGCTTTCTTGCATTGACCAACAAGAGTTTAACAAGAACCTATTGATCCGAGGGAACACATTTTTACATTGCAGCTTGGAAAACTGATTCAACAGGAGAGCCCATTTTAGCAGACGGATCAAGCCGCAAGCCGGTGAGTCCAGAGAAAGCTGACACATGACTACATCTTGCACTTGTTCCCTGCTGATTACAATGACACCAAAGCCTCCTGTTCTTGATCTCAACTTGCCTTCCATCACATTTCCAAACCTCAGAGAAGAAGTCACTCTCATAAGAACCATAAAAAAACGTTGGACCCTTCAATTCTGTATACAGAGCCGTGATCGATCCTTCTAATAGCACCAACGAAACTAGTGTTTATCTCTAATGCCACATGGTTCGAGTCTCCATTACACACAAAGTGAACACTCGCTACTTCTTTGGAAGCTTAACTTGGAGTGTGCAATGTGGCAATCCTATTATCCGTGAGGACCCAGATCCTGCAACCATACTACGATGATAACTGATGTAAGCCAAAAGCAGATTTGTGAAAAGCAAAATGCTGATGAACAATACTATTTGTGTAATTTGTGTTGTTAATAAACCTATACATTGGAATCGTTATTAGAGACATCAATCAACTTATCGATTCATACTCACCCGATGCGAATTTGTATCGGTGCCGAACCTAATCGGCGAGATTCGTCTGAGCACTTCCATGGAACGAGATCAGAATCTCGAAAACTGAAACGGGAGGATCGAGAATCGATGAAAAACAAGGAAGATTGCATCAAAGCAAGTAGTAAATTTCAGAAATCTCGGACTTTCAAGGAGAGAATCAAAGGGATTGAAAGAAAGTAGAAACTTCAGTATTGACGAAACTACCCTTGCTAGCAAAACAAAAAAAAAGGGAAATAGAGAAATTTCTTGGATACTAAGCAATTACAGTAGTTTCCTTTTTTCGGGTCTCACAGTAGCCTTTATATATACTTCATCACTCTTACACTCCCTTTCTTTCCATATTCTCTCGATTACCCATCAAAAGCAAATTGAAACCCTACCCACCTGAGTTTCTTTCGTTATACTGTCTTCCCGATGATGATTGTGACGGATTTGATTTCAGCCGCGATCAAGGCGACTTACAATACACAGAGCCCAGGCGGAGTCGAGCAATGTGTGGATGTGTTGAATCAGTTGAATTCTCTGTCTCTCTCCGCCACGGATATTCGTTAATTGTCTGTGCCAATCTTTAAACTTGAGACTCTGAGAAGGCATAGGAACCCTAAGATCCGTAAGGAATCTCAGTCCTTGTTTGATTCCTGGTTGATTACTCTCTACGCACAAGGAAGAGACCAACCTTTGAAGTCCGGTCTTACCCAGATTCGTCTGAAGCCGAAAAAGCTTGCGTCTTCTTCGGAGTTGAACAAGAAGAAGAATAAAGAAAAAGAACAGAGATCTCTTATGCCTCTTGAACCGGAAAAGATTAAGAAAAAGACTGACTTTTTGGAGTCGAAGAAGAGACAAGACTCGAAAGCGTCGAATACCAATCTTTTGGAGACGAAGAGGAAACGGGACATCAAAGAAAAAGATGGTAAAGTTACAACTAAAGCCTTGATCCCTCCTCCGAGAAGGCCTGTCTATACGACAAAAGAATCTGGAAACCCTAGATCTGAGGCCTTGAAGAGGACGACAGAGGAGATGGTGGAGCTCTTCGAATCAGCAAAGAAAGCTGCTGATGTGGCAAACGCGAAAGGTATTCTCTTGGGGAAAGCAGAGGCGTCACGATGCGTTGATGCTCTCTCTTTACTGATGAAAATCAATTTCATCCCAAAACCTAAAGAGCCAATGCGGATGATGGAGAGACTTGAGAGACTTACAAAGCACAAAGATCTTAAGATTTGCTCTGCTGCATCTGCCCTTCTTCGACTTTGGAGACAGAGGGTTAGAGAACAAGAACGCAAAGACTCCATTGGATTCAAAAGGTTCTGAGTCATCTTTGTATCAAGAATATGAGATGGAATACTTTGTAAGCCTGGTTGAGTATTTTTTAGTAAAATTCTTTGTCTTTACAAAATGTAGGAAAAAAGTTTATCTTGTAAGAAATTGTTTCGATTATCAATAAATAAGATCTCGAAATTTCTACAGTTCAGTTCATGTCGGGTTAACTTCGTTCATACGATAGTAAAGATTCCAGAAAAACAACACAAGAGATTATAGATAAGTTACTAAGGTTAATAATAGAGGAGAGAACACACTAGTTTCGTTAATTACAATTCTAACAAAATATTTGGTTGTATCCTTGCTTGCTTTGTATTAAGTTATTAAGTATATGCAATCGATGATCATTAATAAAGAGAGCTCTGTTTATATACAGAGACTGAATGTACAGAGAAGGCAATAATATATCTGAGAGATAATATAGCATAATTGCAGGAAGTGAAATTATATACTTTCTATATCTCATCACTTTGTTTCTAGGAGGAATCCTCTCAGAGAAACACTTTGTAGGAGGTTAAGTGAAAGTTTCAGGTATGTGAAGTACACGGTTTAAGTGTGGCTGATGGATAAAGGAGAGGTTCTTCTGGCTTAGTCTGAAGATATATATGATAATGCAAGTACCAATTGTATGGTGGAGTCTGCATATTAGGGAAGGTTTTGTAGAGTGATTCGATAGCTGAAATTGACATCATGGGTTGTAGAGTTAATGTATATGGTGGCTTAAAAGAAGTGTCTCATGTTTTGTTGATGGGTAACAAATCAATGGAATAGACCTTGAAATCATGGTTGCAAAAGAGGAGAAGGTTGCAAGAGGGAAGCATCATGTGGCCCCATGATAGGCACAAGATCTTACTTAGCTAATCTAATGGGTGTCAAAAGTGAGTTTGTGCACAAAAAAAGAGGAAGTTTCTCTGTTCGTAAGGAAGAAACAGAGCATAATGACTTAAGACTGCACTTGATAAGATGTATGATTGCTGGGATACAAGTGTTTTTAGACATATGTGTTACTTGCTGGATACGTTACTTATGAGCAACAAAAACTTATATTGAGTTTATAAGCATTTTGAATGGTGTAAATGTGAGAGCAGCTGAAGTTTTCAAGAAACTGGAGAATGCATAAGAGGAAACCAGAGAAGGTCTCAATCTTTGAACACACAAGAAGAGGTTCCAGCTTTTACTAACAAATGCAATTTGTACAAAGAGAACTGACAGAAAAAAGGCAAACTCCAACATCCTGGTTCTGCCATACTATGTCTAATCACAACAAACTCCAAAACTACAGGATAACGTTACTATTTCATCTTTCTTGCTGGACTCTGAAAGAAGCACACTGAATCATAAGTACTTCACATTGTCACCAAGATAAAGCTATAACAAGGGATGTCACAAGATGAGTCTGACCTAATGATCATTCCAAGCTGCAGGGAAAGGAAGATAAGCTTAAAACAATGTAGTAGAGCCAAGAACAGAGACGCTAACATCCTAAAGCTACATGTCAATGGGCATAAAACGAATCTACTGATGTACCAGGAGCATCACACACAACAATGTACCAGGAGTGCAAATGTAGAGAAGTACTAAAACAAGCTGATTTGAAGATAAAATCAACTTCATTTTCTATATTTGATCGGGGAAAAAAATCAACTTCATTTTCGAACTGATGTAGAGAAGTGCTAAAGCAAGCAAACATATATTTATATACTAGTTATATAGCAATTGCCTGAAACCTCAAGACGTTCTCGGAACCAATCATAAACTTCTATTGTGGTAAACCTCAAGTCGTTACTCAATTTCCATATATATATATATATATAGTCAAAAAGATCACTAGGTTTGCTAGTTTCGTTTAGGTAAATGCAGCTTTACCAAAACTTGAGCAGGTAATGATGAAAAGTGCCAGGCTTTATGCAGAGTATCGACGCTAATAAACACAGGGAATCCATGGCTGAATCCATCAGTTTCAGAGAAGAGAAGCAATGCATGACTTGTCGATGATCACATTTGCATCTGACAGAGACCACGAGAAGCTTGTTCATCAGCATTCAGCAGAGAGTGAATGAAACTGGGTCAGAGACGAGCAGTGAGTTATTAGCGACGACGCAGAGTATCGACTCGGAGAAGGCATGAAGGATTCGATTTCAGAGAAGAGGATTAGCGGAGACGGATCTGGGTGTTTTTTTTTAGTTGAAGTTTCCAAGGAGATGAGAGGTGGAAAGAGGGTTTGCAAATGGAGGAGGAGACATCAGATCGTCGGCGGAGCAGATTGTCACCGTGTCGCCGTCGGTGAAGAGAGAAGAGTTTGCCTATGCAAAGGCCCATGAAAATTCTGAATTCAACTTTGGGATTTGTCTATGCAAAAGCCCATTTTACTATTGGGACGCCCGAGCCCGATGCTATATCAGAAATGGTAAGTTTTTCTTTCTTTCCATGAACAATCCCCAATATTAGGCCTGCGCATAAAAGCCGGATCCGAAAAATCCATCCGAACCCGACCCGAATTTTATGGTACTGAACTCGAATCAAAATGATGTAAATATCCGAATGGAATCTTCACCTCTATATCTGAAGAACCGATACCGTACCCGAACCAAACCGAAAACCGAACGGATATCCAAAATATTCGAGATATAATGATATATATATAAATATTAGTTATATTTAGATATAATATAACTAAATTTCTCAAAATGATAATTATGAATCGAATATATTCTTTATATTTAGATTAAAATAATCAAAATATCAAAATTATTTAAGTTATATATATCAAAATTCAATATTTTTAGCAAAACTTAACTAGATATATCAATATATTTTTAAAATCTAAATTTTTTTAAAAATTTTCAAATAAATTTCAGAGAATTCGGATATCTGAAACCGACCCGAACCCGACATGAACCGAACCAAACCCGACCGAAAAATTAAAAATACTCGAATGGAGCTTATTGCCTAAAACCGAAATAACCAATACCCGAAAAGACTCGATCCAAACCCGAACGGATACCCAAATGCCCAGGCCTACCCAATATGCAAGTGAGATCTATTGTTATTGCTTACTTGTGCTATATGGAATTGGCGTTTGTTGTTAACTGTGCAAGTGAAAGCTATTGTTATTGTTTACACGTTTGCTTCTTTGTTTACTTTTTATGCATATATCAATATCCGATTAAATTACTGGCTGCAACTGTCCATACTCTTGCATCATTCTTGATACTCGTAGCATCATTTTTTCTAATACAATGTGCAGTTTATTTGATATAAAGGCCTGACATTGATGCTGGAGCACGAGCGCATTGCACTGTTTATCATCACAGTTGTTTTGGCTTTTAATCTTGCTTTCATCTCAACTGATGCTCTTACATAGTTCTTCAAGTACAAATCAAACCAATGCTCTTATATAGTTCCTCAAGAACATCAGCAGATGAAGTTGCTCGGCTGCTGAATTGTGCTGGCCACTACTAAGCTTCCAACTTCCAAAGATCAATAGGGTGTTTTATTTTATATATGTTGAAGAGAGTATCATCCAGTTTTTGAATTTGTCGGTTATGTTTTTAAGTGTTGTGTGAGACAACGACGTTATAAATGTATCTTGGGATTCTAGAATTTAATTAAACCATTTTACACAAAAAAGTTTAAAGATTACGGATAGAGAGTCTTCTCG